AGCCCACGGTCCTCAGCGCACGCCCGCTGCCCGCCCGCTGCCCCGTGGACGGAGCACCGTGTTGTGCAGCTCTGCAGGCCCGCGCCCACCTGCCAGGGTGCGGTCCACAGCCTGGATGCCCGCCAGCAGCGTCCGTGCCCGCCCCAGCGTGGCCTCCGTGCTGTCCAGGAGCTGCCCGGCCTGCGCTCTGGCCCCTGCGGCCTGTGGGTGCAGCGCCTCGTCAGCTCAGAGCCCCGGGGCAGGGGGCGGGGGTGCCTGTGTCCGGGTGGGGGCGTGGAGGGGCCCGGGAGGAGCTGCCGGGGTGAGGGGGCCGGGGCACCCCAGGCGGGGTCCTGCCTGGCCGTCCAGCTGATGTGTGTCCTGCTCCAGGGTCGCGCTCTGCTGCTCCAGTGCCTCCAGCTGCTGCTGGGCGTGGGGGGGGGGCCCGGGCGGGTGGCGGAGCTGGCTCTGCGGGGAGCAGGGTGTGAGCGAGGGCCCTCTGCAGGGGCGCGGCAGGCTGCCCGGGGGGGCTGGTACCTGCAGGCTGGCCACGGAGGCCTCCAGCTGGTGCAGCCGGGCCCAGGCCACGGAGCTGGCGTTGAGGCCGCGCAGCTGCTCGCGGACGGCGGGGAGGAGGCTGCCGGCGCGCTGCAGGTCGTCCAGGAGCAAGACCACGCAGTGGTCGCACACTGCCGGGGACGGGGCAGTCAGCGTGGGCCTGGCCACGGCGGCCCCAGGGTCGGGGGCTCGAGGCAGGGAGTCCTGGGGGTGGGGGGCCGGGCCCCCGGTGGAGCGGGAGGACGGGGAGGAGGAGGCAGGGATGCACCTTCACAGTGGACGCCGGGGCCCCCGGGCCCTCCAGGCACCGGCACCTGGTGCTGGTGGCTGCAGGCGTCACAGCGCGCCCCGCTGAGCCCAGGGGGGCACGTGCAGCGGCCTGTGTGTGGGTCACAGCGGCCCCCCTGGCACCGGCAGCCTGCAGAAGCACAGACTGAGTGTCCAGCCGGGGGCCAGGGCTGCCCCCCGCCCGTCCGCCCCCCCACACTCACGCTGGCAGCCCTGCTCGGGGAGCCCCCAGTGGCCAGGGGCACACTCGCGGCACTGGGGGCCCCCCGCGCCCGGGCGGCAGTGGCACTGCCCGCTCTGGGGGTGGCACTCGGCACTCGCGGCGGCTGGCCCACAGGCGCACGGCTGGCAGCCCCCGCAGCTCTCGAAGCCGAAGTGTCCTTCCTGCGGGCGGGGCTGTGCTCACAGGCTGTCCGGCCCGGCCTCCGGCCCCCCGCCCACAGCACCCAGGCCGCCCCACCTGACAGCGGTCACAGCGCTGGCCCTTCACGCCCGCCTTGCACAGGCAGCGTCCACTGTGGGGGTCACAGCCCTCCGAGCCGCACGGCGAGCAGTCGCACCCTGCAACAAGGACAGTGGCGCTGACCGCGCCTCACCTCTCCCGCCCCAGGCCACTGCACGCGACCCCCAACCCGCCCATGGGCCGCGCACCCCACCCTTCCCAGCCCGCGGCCACACCGCGGCCTGCCCCCCGCAGCCCGGCTCAGCTGGGGCCGGGCGGGCCGCCTCGGTAGAAGCCAGAGCCCCCGCGTGTCCCTGGGCTCGGCCTAGGGGGCCCCGGGTGTGGGAGTCTAATTCCGAGCCCCTGGGGGCCGCGCGAGCCCCTCCCGCCTACGGGTGCAGTTTCCCGGCAGCAGGGCGTCGCCGTGGAAGCCGGGGGCGCAGCTCTCGCAGCGGGGCCCGGCGGTGTGGCCCAGGCAGCCGCGGCAGGCCCCCGTCAGGGGGTCGCAGTCGCTGAAGAGCAGGTTGGGGTCGCCGTTGCCGCTGCAGTCGCAGGGCTGGCAAGAGCTGCCCAGCACCAGCGGGTTCCCGAAGAAGCCGGGCGCGCACCTGCGGGGGTGTCAGCGGCGGGTCTGGCCGGGCCCCGCCCGC